TCGTTCTAGGAGAACTCAGGGTTGTCCGCCTTTCCCTCTCACCCACTTTACAGTTCCCTCCTCTCTCAGACTCTCCTTCATCTGCCTTCCAAGCATGCTTTCCTCCGGCTGCATTGCTTCCCTGGGTCTTTCCAAATCCGTGCCTCCCTCTTTCCCAGCCCCCTGGGTCAGGGCTGCTGAGGGCCATTGTGGACCCCCACTGAGGCCTACTTCACATCATCCAACCATCATGTGAGAACAAAGGGAGCGGTGGCGCAGGCGGTAAAACGCCTGCTTTAACAACACTCGAGCAGCCACTATGGCTGTTCGAGTCCCACCGCGGTCGGGGTGAGCTCTCGACCCTAGTCCTAGCTCCCGCCCACCCAGCGGTTCGAAAGCTGAAGTAACTGACGGCGAGTAGATAAATGGGAACCTACCCTTAGAAGGGCAGGGGGCACCCTCCTCTACGGAGGTGCATGGAAGGCGGCGGCGACGGCGGGTGCAGCAGGACATCGGCTGCAGCAGCATACCGGAGGTAGCGGCATGGCGTCGAGGCGGCAGCAAGCAGTAGCAGCAGAGCCGGAAAGGAGTGATCCCTGGTGGCCAGCAGCAGAAACAGCAGGCGGCTGTCGTCAGCAGAGGCGGAGGCACAGCGACGTCATCCAAAGGCGCGGCGGAGCCTGAAGGACGCAGCCAGACCGGAGGAGGACGTCACCTGTGTATCAGACCGCCTGACTGCCTAAGCGCCAGGAAAAAGAACAGCTAGCTGCCGGGAATGGAGCCGGGGAAAAAAAGAACAGCCGAGCCGAAGAGATGTCAGCCTCCACCTGGGTGCCGGTAGGCAGCCCCACCCATAGAATCAATGTGGCCTTAGTTAGGATTCAATGTGACTAGCACCCCACATGTAAACCGCCCAGAGACCCCCACGGGGGTTAGGGCGGTACATCAAATCGAAGTAATAAATAAATAAATAAATAAGTTGTATGACTTGCTTTTGTTATAAATAGGGTGCTCACTGGTGAGAATCACACGCCGTGGAAGAGGACGTACATGAAACAGTGGGGGAAAGAGGAGGATTGGGGCATTTATTGGCAACTTAACTGTGAAATTTGTAGCTGCATACCAAGCAGCACTTCACTTAACTCTCTGATGACCGGTGTCCCCATCAGCTTTGCCACTTACCTGGTTCCAGTGGGAGATGGAGATGTTCCCTGTTCCTAGTCCTCATTTAATGGAGCAGAAGGGGAGTAGGGGGGATGGAATTAATGTCTGGACCTCACTTCCTGTTTGTGAACAGAAAGTGACATCATGACACCCTAGGAATTTTCAAGTCATGACACTCTAGGAAGTTCAAAGTTCTCTGTGGTTTTGCCATAGATATTTGAAAATCCCTAGAGTGTCATGATATCACTTCCTGTTCAAAAACAGGACGTGATGTCACAGAAAGCTCCAACCTCCCCCAAATGATCCCTGGAACCCTAGCTCCAGAGTTTTGTATCCCAAGTAACTTCCTCTTGGTGGCCTCAGCACCGGTCTTTCTGCCTTTCGCTCTCTATATCATTTGCTGTACAGGAACTCAGCCAATGGTAACCAAAGACACTTAGGCCTAAAAGGACTTCAGCCAGTTGGGCAGCCAGGAATACTTTGACCCAATAACACGAGAGTTCAGCCAGTTTGCACCAGAGACTTCACCATCGGCACAAAAATCCCTTTGCACATTATTATGTGGACTGGGGTTGGCTGTACAGCACTGGCTGGATAAATATTGTCAAATTGTGGTCAACTTTGTGAGAAGAAATAAAGCCCACTTTAATCATCAGCTGTTTCAATAGTAGTGCTAATTACACTTTAAAATTGGTTCACTGCTATTGTAAGCAATGAATTCTTTTTCCAATGTAATGAATTAGTCTAACTGTTAACAGTTAGGGAAAGTTACTATAAACGTGAACAGTGCCCTGAACAATCCTTCCTTTTTGGCATTTAACCAGGAACATCTTGGAAACCGTATATTTTTAAACAGAAAGAAAGAAAAGAAACTGAAAGAGAACTAAGGTTATCATCTCTGGGTTGGGAAATTCCCAGAGACTTGGGGTTGGAGCTTTTGGGGAAGTTTAGGGGTACCACCTCTGGGTTGGGAAATTGCAGGAGATCTGGAGGTGGAGCCTGGGGAGGGTGGAGCTTGGGAAGGGGTGGGGCCTCAGCAGGATATAATGCTATAGAATCCACCCTAGGGTTGCCAAGTGAGTTTAGCCGCAGTGGGGGATTCCCGGCTGGCGGCTGGAGAGCGTGTGTGCGCCGCATCCACATCACCTGGAAGTGACCCGGGCATGCTGGGGGCGGGGCCACGACCATCCGAGGGAAAACCATAGAGTTTTCCCTTGGATGACCGTGGCCCTGCCCCCAGCGTGCCCGGCGTGGTCGCGTCACTTCCGGGTGACGTGTACGTCGGGGTGGGGTTCCCCCCCGGGGCCCGATGCGGGGAATGGGCCTCTGGGGCGGGGGTTTCCCCACCCCCCGGGGGGCCTTGGCAAGCCTAATCCACCCGCCAAAGCAGCCATTTTCTCCAGGGGGACTGATCTCTGTCATCTGGAAATCAGTTATGATTCTGGGAGGTGTCCGGGCGCCATCTGGAGGTTATACAAATGTGAAATCACGGGATAGGTTGTATGTAAACAAAAAAACAACTGTGATATTATTACGCAATCTATTCAGTAATTATTATTAAGCATTTATATTATGGTAGAAATTACAAAACACATTCCAGTACACAATATGCAAATATTTAAAGTGTCCTTGTAAACCATATTGTCTGTGCTGAAAGTTCCTCTGTATAATACAGCTCGAAGTGGCTTTGCACAGTCCTTCCTTGACGTCGATGTAAATCATTCCAAATATCTGATCAACTGTCGTGGCTCCACAGGCCAGCTCCACACCCGTGTTCGATCCTTTATCAAGGTGCTGCGGCAGTCACGACAAAGTTTTTTCCTCTGCTTGTTCAGTCTGTTTTGAGGAGCATTTTACTCTGCAGATCTGTGTTTAAAGTAAAGGTAAAGGTCTCCCTTGCTCGAAAGCCAGTCGAATCCGACTCTAGGGTTGCGGTGCTCATCTCCATTTCCAAGCCGAAGAGCCAGCGCTGTCCGAAGACGTTTCCGTGGTCATGTGGCCGGCATGACTAAACACCAAGGCTGCACGGAACGCTGTTCCCTTCCCACCGAAGTGGTACCTATTTATCAACTTGCAATTTCTTGCTTTCGGTTGGCAGGAGCTGGCACTAGAGACGGGAGCTCACTCCGTCATGCGGCACACTCGGATCTCGAACCGCTGAACCTTCCACAGCCTGCAGTTCAGCGTCTTAACCACTTGATCCACCGCAGCTCCTCAGATCTGTGTTTACATTCAGCTTAATGCAGCGTTAGTGCTGTATTAGCATTTGGAGGTTGACAACCCTGAAGAGAACTGAGGCAAAGTAAAGCAGCTGTTCAAACAAAAGTCATTTCCCAAAGGCAGTTTTCCTAGGGTGGAGAAAAACTGGCCGATTCTTCCTGGTGGGAGATACTTTTCAGGTGAGAAGTAGCTGGAGGACTCTGCCCCAGAGTGCTGGGGTACCAAGTGGGGTGCAAGCCCTGATTCATGACCCCATAATGAAGTTAAAGGGACGGTGCCACTTATGCAGTGACATCCTGGGCCCGCCTGGGAATATTTGATAGTAGCTGATTGCAGTGAAGTGACAGGCAGCCACTTGGATCCTATTTGACTTGGTGACTGATCAACAGGCCAGCCCTAAGTGGTAGGCCTGCAGGGACTCATGGAGCGACAAACAATTATGAAATGCAACCCCTCCGACCCCAAATCTCCCCCTCCATTACACTGTACTTTATACTGTATATTCAGCCTGCATCAGGCCGTTTAAAAGGTTTTGGCCTCTCTCTTTTTCTTTTGGTTAACTTATTTAGCTGTTTTTTAAAATGTTTGGGGAACCCCAGT